AAAAAAGTTTGAAATTCTTATTGGAGCAACGGGAAGTAAACTCAGAATATCAAAAGTGGCTACTTAAATTAATGGGTTATCAATTTGAGGTTCAATATCAGCCGGGAAGGGAAAACAAGGCTGCTGATGCCCTTTCCCGTGTTAGCTCTTCTACTGAGTTAATGGCAATGTCGGTTCCTGCAGTAGTACAACTAGACACTCTAGCAAAAGAGGTTCGGGCGAACTCACAATTACAAACTATTATTCAAGAACTCAAACAAGATCCTTCTAGCAGGCCAGATTTTGTTATGGTAAATGGCCAGCTGTTGTTTAAAGGACGCTTATTCCTGCCGAAGGGGTCATCATTAATCCCATTGATTTTAGAAGAGGGGCACGATAGGAAGATCGGTGGACACTCCGGCTTTCAAAAAACTTACAGACGTGTTGCTGAGAATGTCTATTGGGAGGGGATGAAAGTTGATATTCAGCAATATGTGAACCGATGTGCAGTGTGTCAACAAAACAAGTATATTGCACTATCACCGAGAGGCTTGTTGCAACCTCTTTCGATTCCTAATCAAGTTTGGGAGGACATAGCAATGGATTTCATTGAGGGACTACCGAAATCAGGCAACATGGATACAATCTTGGTAGTGGTGGATAGATTAAGCAAGTATGGGCATTTTATAGGGCTCAAGCACCCTTTCACAGCGGCAAGTGTGGCTGGAGTTTTTGTTAAAGAGGTGGTGCGGCTACATGGGGTACCTCGCTCCATTGTGTCAAATAGGGACAAGATCTTTGTCAGCCATTCTTGGGAGGAGTTGTTTCGTTTGCAAGGTACTAAGCTCAATCGTAGCACTGCTTACCATCCCCAATCAGATGGACAATCCAAAGTACTAAATTGCACTCTAGAAACATATTTTCGCTGTTTTGCGTCATCACGACCCAAGTCTTGGTTCAGATGGTTACCTTGGGCCGAGTTATGGTATAACACATCCTTCCATACAGCAAGCAAGACGACTCCTTTCTAGGTCGTATACGGGCGTGAACCCATTGCTCTACTGAAGTTTGAAAAAGGATCCACCCCAGTTTCAACAATAGAACAGTAGCTCCTTGAAAGGGATCAGGTTTTAGAGGAATTGAAAGCACAATTATTGCAAGCTCAAGCAAGAATGAAAAGCATAGCTGATCACAAGAGAAGAAATGTTCAACTTGAGGTTGGAGATCTTGTGTACTTGAAGATTAGGCCGTATCGTCGCAAATCCTTAGTTGCGCGGCCTAATGAGAAGTTAGCACCACGGTTTTATGGTCCGTTTGCAGTTGGTCAGGTTGCTTATAAGCTAATTCTTCCTCCGACATGTAACATTCATCCCGTATTTCATGTATCCCAGCTACGTAAGGCAGAAGGGGTAGTGCAGGCTGTGAAGGAAGTACCTAGCCAATTGAATGAGGAGTTGGAGATGTTGGTTGAACCAGAAGCATTACTT